GTTCCGCTGAATTTAGGTCGTCAACAGACAGTAAAAGAAAATTACGGTCGCAACGGAGTGTCGTATCAAAAGATTTCGAATTTTGAGGTAAGAGAGACCGAAACATTTTAGCTGACTGATGTGCTCGAGCTGTAGCTCTGAGCAGACGTACCCATCTGCTGAACCGACGATAGTCAGCTACCACTGGTGAAGTGGTAGACGGTTCCGCTGATGTACTAACTACACATCCAACTACTTTGGAAACAGTTTTGTATTCCTCCGCGGTCGGCGGTTTGTAAGTGGTTGGTTCACTGGGCCAGGAATCTTCCGGGAGAAGAAGAAAAGATGGTCCGGTAAACCAACGAGAACGAATAGAAAATTCTCTGGTTTCACGAGTAGCGTCATCTGCTACGTTTAGGCCAGTAGGAACGTACCTCCAGTTCTGTATATCGGTTAAATCGGAGATCTCAGCCACGCGAAAAGAAACAAAGGGCTTAAACATGCAGGCGTCGCTACGTAACCATTTAAGCACCGTTACCGAATCGGACCACAGAATATATTTGGAAGGCTTTCTCTTATGAGCCTCCAGAATATAAGAACCAAAGCGCGCTGCAATTAAAGCCGCTTGAAGTTCCATTCTTGGAATGGTTGCTGGTTTCAGGGGCGCCAGTCTAGCTTTACCGCCTATTAAAGCTAGCTTAATTGAACCGTCAGCCAAAGTAAAGCGCCAGTAGGCGACACAAGCATACGCTAATCCACTTGCGTCGGAAAAAATATGAAGTTGACTTTCTACAACAGGAAATCCTTCTGAATAACATCTAGGAATGACACCTCCAGACAGAGCATTAAGCTCCTGAAACCAAAACTTCCATTGTTGAATAAGAACTTCAGGCAACACATGGTCCCAATCTATACCTAGTTTCCAAGCTTTTTGGAAAAGAATCCGACCCTTAATTACCATGGGGGTAACTAGGCCCAATGGATCATAGATTGACATAAGTAAAGACAATACAGCCCGCTTAGTGTAGATTGCAGGTAGGCTGGGTATAGCTTTCAGATAACACAAAGAATCATTAGTAACGAGCCAACTCAACCCCAGGACGCGTATTTGTGAAGGAGACGAGGGGCCTAACCCTACCTCAGATGCATCAACAGCGCGGAGGTCGGAGGGAATTAGAGACAAAGCGTCTTTATTATTTGATACCCAGGAACGCATCTCAAAACCAGCTGCTTTATGAACAGTTACGATGTCAAAGGCAAGGCGCGCTGCGGCCTCCACCTCATCCATGCTTCCAAGGTAGTCGTCCATATAGTGATCTTCTATGATGGATTTAGCCGCTTCTGGATAAGCGTGTTGAAAGTCTAACGCGTTTTTATTTTTTAAATAAAGAGCCGTACATGGGCTAGAAGTAGCTCCAAAAATCATAGAGGACATTCGATACTCTTGTAGAGGTTTTGAAGGGTCGTTCCTCCACAAAAATCGCTGCGCGTCACGATCCTGAGGTCGAATCTTGACCTGAGGGAACATTTCCCTTATGTCCGCCGTAAGGGCAACACAGCCTTCCCGAAATCTCATCACTATGGCTAGCAAGGGCTGCAATAAGTCGGGGCCCGATAAGAGCATAGAATTAAGACTTACTCCATTGCACTTTGCCGCTGCATCGTGCACTACACGTAATTTTTTCTTATGTGGGTGCACTACGCCAAAATGTGGGAGATACCATACTTTACTAGCTGTCGGTTGATCACTACAAATCTCCGCATATCCCTTGTCGATCATACCTTGGATGTTTTGTGTGTATTTCATTGCGTATGATTTATCTTTGATCATTTTACTCTCAAGACTTGAAAACCTAGATAAGGCGAGAGGTTTACTGTTGGGAATTATTTGAATATCATTTCGCCATAAAAGTCCAGTCTCAAATCGGCCTGAAGGTAAGCGCACCGTGGTATCTTCCAAAATATCTAGAGCGCGTTTGTCACTGGGACTGCGGTGAAGTTTCTTTTCTATACCGATCGAATCCAATTTATAATACTGTTTTATTAAAACATCCAAATTATGATCTTGTTTCTCAAAATCGATGTGATTGACGTATTCTACAGTATCTTTTTTGCCACCAATAAAACCAAAAAGAACCCACCCTAAGGGAGTGAGTATAGCAGCAGGCTCTGCTCTAGTTCCAGTGCGAATGGATTGAGGCAATAGCAAATGCCAATTGTCAGTACCAATGAGACAAGTTGGTTTCGCATTATCGTAACTTAATACATCAGTCAGGTCATAAAGGTGATTGTGTTGTTTCAAGTCGTTGATGTTTATGGATTGTGGCTTTAGATTGAGATTCGGAATAGTACGAGCTCGTATTTCGTAACTCTCGGAATTATATCTACCTTTTACTTTAACATTAATTAAACTGGTATTACACAACTTAGAGAGCCCTCCTACACATTGAATACACAAAGGTTCTATAGGCCTTTCATCAACCAACATATCAGCCACAGACTTATCTAACAATGTAGCAGAACTACCATCATCTAAAAGTGCAAAAGTGTTAACGCTACCCTTTTTACCTGTCAGAGTAACAGGAATTATTTTTAATAGTGGCTGTCCCTTGGTAATTAATGGCACAGAACTATGCGCCACAATAGCAGTATGTTCGCTAGCTTGAGGCGTAGACGATAAATGTGCATCAGACCTCAGTTTGTGTAATAATGTGTGATGCCGTCGATTCGCTGTACAACCGTCTACTTCACATCTCTTTTTACAATTTTTATATTGATGCGAACCTTTGCGTAGACATTTACGGCAAACTTTGTTGTCTATTACCCACTGCCAACGATCATCTAAGCTAAGAGACTTGAAATCTACACAATCAACAACTTCATGAGAACTAGTCTGACAATACTTGCATCCTTCTGTAACTTTTGTTATACTAGGGGAATTCGACGAGATCGCGTTAGAAAAAATTTTGTCTTTGATAGGTTTGACAGGTAGACTTTGACATCTGACAAATGTCGACTCTGACGTAACAAGACCGAATTTAGTTTGTAAACATGCCTCGTTGTCTAGGAAATCGGCTAGATTTTCCAACTTGAATTTACCAGAGTCGGCTTTTGCAGCGGCAAAATCAATCCATCTAGACCTGAGGAGAGGAGTTAATTTACCAATTATAGAATTACAAATTTCAGGCGACGCGAGATACTCGGGTAGTTTAAGTAACCGGATAACTTCGATGCAATTTCTAATACGACAGGCAAATATATTGAGATCGCGAGTATTTTCATATAGGTTCAACTTAGGTAGAGTTCTTACTAGGGAAAGCTGATGAAGAACGATGACCTCTGGCTGCGCGAATCGATTCTCCAATGCCGCAATGATTTGATCTGGGTCGTCAGCGACCATTAAACGACCTGCTACAGCCTCTCTCGCAGACCCACTTAGCGCTGATGCGAGCCTTGCAATGTTTTCGCTGGGAGGGAAGTGCGTCTTGGACTGATCATAAGAATTTTTAAAAAGAAGCCAGTCCGAGACACGTCCATCAAATTTAGTAATATCACATACCTTTGTAGTCTTCTTTCCTAGGTTAGTAATAGCGTTGGCCAGCTGATCAAATTGTGTACCTACATTACTACCGATTTCTTTATTTTTGTTATAACAACAATCACTTTTTTTATTAAGTGTGCCTGTAGCGAGTGTATGTTGTGGAGTTGGTTCAGCTGGCGCAACTAATGTCGGGTGCAAGCGAGCAGGGATCGGGAGTTTTGTAGGGGCGTCTACAACCGCTGTGGCGGGTGGCGCCGATCGCGGCGATGGCTGCGATCTTATATATGAGAACAATGGTTCTATTTTCTCCTCCCTGTCAACCAACGAATGAACTTTACTATGATGAGCATTATTGATAGAATTAGCTAACCAATTGTTGACGCGCTGAGAATTGGAACCGCGCGATCCGCGAGATCCGCTTGTTCTTTGCGACGAAGCAGCTTCTATGGCAGCTAATTGTGCCTGAAGCTCCAAATCCGCAACAGCACGCTCTCGTTCTCGTTCGCGTTCCGCTAACGCACGTTCGCGTTCCGTTTCGGCTTCAGCAAGACGGCGTGCATGTTCTGCCTTGGTTGCTAAAATTTGTGCTCTTAGTGTGCTGTTTTGCGAACGGGCAGTGTAACTACTTTTGGAATTAGTACCTGAACTTGTGCTTGGTGAAGATTCTCGGCGCTTAGTGGACGGACCCGCCTCCTCAAAGGCAGAATTAGTAGGGGCTCCATCCTCCGAAAAAATTTGCACTTGCTTCTCAGTGGGCTGTTGTACTGCCGCTGATGTGGCGAGCTTTTTTGATCTTGTTAGAGGCATTTTTCCTTTTTTATTACTGACACCAAAACTATGTAAATGATACGACCGCTTGTCTTTAGAACACTGACATTTAATTATTTTTATTTTATAATCTATTTCAATATGTACAAATATAGTATTCCAAAAAGTATAGTTATATAAGATCAAAGAGTATAATAAACCTGGTATCAAAAGCTATTTACATATTAGAGCACAGTTAGTCGTGAACAAAGTTATTATGATTAAAATAGAAAGTATATATTATTTAAAATAAAATTATATATTGAAATATCGTCCAAGTTTACATATCACGGCAAACCCAAAAAGAAGTATGTATTTGTTCTATTTGGTAATAGTAATTTTATATTTAGGTACCTAACTTACGAACTGTTTTAATATTAATTTTTGTTTGATACAGTTTTTTCTTTACTCTTTACTTATTAAAATAAAACAATTCTCAAGCTTAGTCAGCCTTTCATTAATTCGCCCAAGCATCGAACCTGACACAATACTAATTAAATACAAAAAGAATTAGCACTTTTATAGCTAGGAACAAGTTTATATTTTTGGCCAATTGATTTATTACATTATTTTGTTGAAGATTAACTTCTAATTTGCTCTTTTGTAGTATCCTGATAGAATTTGGTATGAAAACCACAAAATAAGTTACTACGTGAATATAAGCAAATTTCACGTCTAAAAAAATTTTTGATATAAATCAAAGTTCAATGTCCAAACAATATTTATTTATTAAAATATGCCACAATTGTTTCACCCTCTACACAAGTAATGTTCTTTGTGTAGAATTTGTTTTGATACAGCTTCCTCCAAGCACGTCTGAACGGGGAGTTTAGATCTGTAAAGATTATAATTATTCATTAATTTATTACGTATGTTTATTATAGCAGGCGGAAACTGTAATTACTTGCCGTATAATTTAAATATTTCCTTCCTAGACTGATCAGTACTGTCACTAAGACTGGAGTTTACCGACCATCGAATCTACTGATTAGATCTTAATTCGCTGATTAAAGATATTTTTGTATTCATCACATATTAATCAACTGATTACATTTTAATCAGCCGATTAACTTAATCGAGTCATGCAACCTTGTTTAAACGTATTTTTATTACGCTGCTATATTGAACTGACAATATAGACGGTGTCGTCTGAATGTTGGCAGAACTACATACGCAACTGATTAGCATATTATCATTTCTACATTCGTTCTAAAAGATGGTTAATCGGCTGATGTGGCAATCGTGTTTATAAATTTACCTGGTGAAGATGATTTTTACAATTTAATCGACTAATTTCTCAATCAATGTTTACCCCGAACGCCGGCGGCGAACTCCAGCCTAAGGACTCTTTAAGGAAAAAATTCAAAGAATTATACATAACGACTATTACTTTGAATTTGCTGCTTCTCAATATATATATACGAGAATTCGTTAAAATATTATTTATTATCTCGAAATAGTAATATAAACAATATTAATACAAGAAATAGAAATAAATTAATGGTGCCAATCACTAGAAAGCATTTTCTTATTAATTTCATAAGTAATTTCTTAAAAAGTTCTTATTAATTCAGGAGTCTTTCATTCTTCATTCAGCGTGCGCTTCTACAATAAAGTCCCATAAAAAATACAACTATCAGATACCAAGCAGTTTAAATCTACTATTTAATATTTAAAATATTCAATATGCTAATTAAAGAAGCTTATTGTAATGTATCTGATTATATAACAGATGAGAATGCAATGATGGTCAAGCAACTGGATGGGTGATTTCTTCTAAACTCATTAATTTTAAAATAATTTTGTTGTCAATATAAAATTAATATATTATCATTATGAGATTATAGTTTTTTCTCTATTTATAGTATGTTGATCTGGTAATGACATGGTTTGAATGTCGTTAGAGCTGGTTTCTTGCTGTTTCTTTTTATCAGCCTAAAGAAGTCCTGAAAACTCTTTCAGGTAGTAAGGAAGTCCTGACAACTCTTCCCTGAAAACTCTGTAAGGTAGGGAAGAGAGTACTTTTGAGAAGTCTGTTTGAATTATTGTTATTTTGACTTTGACCGTGATTACTCGTCAACTAAATTAAATATTTCCTTCAAAATAATGAATAAACTTATAGTCCGGTCGTTTTCCATCAATCCTTACTGGGTCAGCGTGATGGAACATAGCCCATTCTATATATGCTATTCGTTTCGATTTCATCCACAGGGAAGGCCTGTGCCTCAGGTGGTTACTAGCCTAATGATGATGATGACATATTTACCGGGCGGAGTCAGCAAGAGCCTTTTGCACGGTGACAGTATCTACAGTTTTCAGTTCAGTAGCAAGGCCCAATGCAGCGAACACACGAATGAATGCTGATGTACATCCCGAATCTGTAATCAATGATGATCGATAGGTAGATTGATTTTGGCACTTAAACTCTCATAGAAACATAACATGGATATGATATTACTTTCTTCCGGGAAGTATTTTTGGATTTAATTAAATAATGCTCATGTTGGTAGTATTCAATAGAATTAAAGGTTATTTCGCGGAGGTCAATGGCTATAAATGTGAAACTATGCTACTAGTAACTTCCACAACCAGTCAGTATGGCGCAAGACCTGCTATGTACCGCCTGCACACAAATTCACATGTAAAACAGCAACAAATCTCGTAAAATCCATTTTAGACGTGTTTCGCCCCTCCACGGATCATCCTCAGTAGTTTGGTATCAGATTATTTTTTAAAGCTTTAATTTCACTTTTTTATTTTGACTACCTATACTCCATTCATTATAACATTAGAAAAAAGAGGGTCATAGAAACAGCAGTGCAGAACATTTAATTTTCAAGATAAATTTAAAAAATAAATATTATAGTTTTGTTGAAACTTTGAACGTTTTTGTAGTCTGAAAGAGCTGGGCAATTTTCCATTTTTTATGATACCTCGGAGCTGAGATTAGGCCAGCATTTTAAGTAAGTAAGTGTATATAATTAGAATAGAATTTAGTTATATCTGTGCCCAGGAAAGGAAGGTAAACAAAAGGATTTTTTTATTATTATCTTTATAAAATTTACTCAGATATTAGACTATTGATGAAAAAATTGGAAAAACTTCCTGAAATGTCAAAGGTTGAGGGCAGGTATGGGGGCCTAAAGCGTAATTGTTGTAGTCCACTCGGGCTTGCACCGGCATCGTACATATTTAACAAAACTTAACTTGACAACAAAAACAAAACTATAATAAAACAGAAATAAAACAATAACAACTTAATAACGGAAAACGGCAAAACAATAAGAAAGAAAAAAATCCCAGATTACGTATTTTGACAATTATGAATACATCATAGTCTGACAAAATTAAAAAGTTGTACTGCCGAAACGTTTGAAGGGATTAGGAAACGTTTTAAATATGGTAGAATTATAGTGACATGAGAATCGTGCCGAAACTATCCAACCCTGCTTCTTTAGGTTCTTTATGATGTACACTTTTTATTGTAAATGTCATTAAATCATTTAAGTTAGTCAAATACTAATAAATTTGTTTAATAGATAGCTTAAGTGACAACAGTTAAGTATAGCAGCTGGTATTTAAGTGGATATGTAGCAAATTAGCCGTCACTCTTAAGAGTAACATGATTATTGATATTTTGTCACAATGTATACCATAAAAAGAACCTTATTTAACTTCTATCTAATGCTATAATGAATGGAGTATAAGGGCTTGTAAAAATATCAATTAATTTCCGGCGGAATGTCCATATTAATGTAAGTCTTTCAGGTTAATGATTCTAAACCCTTCAATCTATTTAGGTCACTGTAATAATTACAATTTTAGTACTCTACGTAGTATAAATATATAATAACATATAGAGTCATATATACTAAAACCATTACCATACGTTTAAGCACAATAATAAGATCAATATTAAAAATATACACACATTGAGTTTGTTTTACACAGTTAAATGAAATGTTAAAACATGTGACGTATTGTAGGAGCTGTTGAAATACTTATTAAGATAATTAAAAAAAAGATGTGCTAGACAAAGTATTATGCATAGATTGTTTCGTTGCTTTGGTCGCAAATGAATAGGGAAAACTTTTCCTTTGTACACACGAAATCGACTAATGGTAAAGATTATCCAAAATTACAAAAAAGATATCTCAAACCTTCAAGTGGTAAGTTCTGGACATTTTGAATAAGACCTACTTCAAAATGCGAAATATGAAAATTAATAACTTACACCAAATAAAAAATATTTACATTTATTTCTGTGACCTACAAAAATCAAAAGACTTGTAAAAATAAAAATTGCTTGGAATTATTTACCTTCATAATGAACATTTCATTTATAATTATATGCAATCGGGTCTTGTTCGTGCATTTTTTAAAACAATTAATTTACCTCGACGTTTCGGCTACGTTACAGCAGCCGTGGTCACGAGGAGACTGGAGAACTGGCGGGTGTCGTCTTTTGATTTTAGTTGAGGGTAATCCGGTAATAATGTTTTTAACTGATTTTCAGATGTACCCTCCACTTGATTTTATTATACGTAAAGGTGGCGACACACTGCACTTACGGTATCCGAGAATATTGTTCGTGGTTGTTTGCGATCGCGACACTTATACATTTTTATAACCGGATTCCACGTTGGTGAGAGTTTATATCCACTTTCCCGGTTGAAATTGTTGTGTTTTTTGATTTCAACCGCTTCACGAACAATCCTTGGATAGTAATGTCGTTCAGTGGAAAGGACATGAGGTGTATGTAACTCGATCCAGTGGTTTGATCCAGATGATAATAAGTGCTCTGCAATCGCGGACTTCTCCACTTGACGATTTTTGACCGCTGCTATGTGTTCTCTTACACGTTCGGCGATAGTCCGCTTCGTTTGTCCGATATATGAACTACCGCAGCTGCAGTCAATTTTATAAACGCCAGGTTTTTGGTAAGGAATACTATCCTTTGGTGATCGCAATTGGTGTGACATTTTTGATAAAGGAGTAAAAATGGTGTCTATAGAAAAATTTTTCCTCAAAATGGAACCAATTTTGTCCGTTACCCCCTTAACATAGCCTAAAAATGCCCGTTGCCTGGGAACCTTAGGTAGTCTTTCCTTACACCTTCGGATAGGGTATGACCTCCTTGCGCTGTATCCATTTTTCCTTAGCACGTCCTGTACATGGGACAACTCATCTGCTAAGAAGTCAGTATTACATAATGCGTTAGCCCTGTTAATAAGAGTTGTCTCCACAGAACGCAGGTGTTGAGGATGATGATGAGATGAAGCGTGGAGGTACTTGTCTGTGTGTGTTGGTTTCCTGTAGACAGTGTGTTTCAGGGACCCATCAGCTTGCGCCATGACTTTAACGTCCAGAAAGGGTAAGGTTTTGTCACTCTCTAACTCATAGGTGAACTTGAGATTTGGATGGATATTATTGACGTGTGTAAGGAACTGCTCAATCTCCGGTTTGTCGCCCTTCAGGATACAGAACACATCGTCTACATACCGTTTCCACATACGGATCCCATGTGACTGGTAATCTATCAATGACTCGACATGTTCCATCCATATATTGGCCAAAAGTGGCGCTACGGGGCTACCCATGGCGACACCATCAATTTGAAGGTAATGTTTGCCGCGATATAGGAGATAGTTGCCATCTAAACAGTTCCGTAATAGAACCATGTACCCTTCCGGTATATCGTTTTGTCTAAGTTTCATCCTAACAACCTCTAGACAGTCCTTAACTGGAACGTTGGTGAACAGCGACTCAACATCAAAACTCACCATTACGTCATCCGGATCCAGTTTTGTATCGCTATCGTACAGTGATTTTGAGTTATGTGATCGCGTAACGTATCAGCAAGCAAGCAGAATTTTCAAGTTATCCACGCAAAAGCATGAACGTAAATTCGAAAAATTGCTGTTTCGTAGTGGAAGATCAAGGATCACTGGGGAGTCAGTTGATGACGTCATCAACTTATCGGATACTACACTTGACGGTGCCACTCGCAGTGTTTTAGCAAAGGGACTGAATTTTGCTACTACCCCGAAGAGGATACCGTATGAACATATCATCAGCAGTATAGAGGAGACAATAGTTCGTAATAAGGTACCAACTGATGATGCCGACGCTTTGAGGCAAGATGTCGCTATCGTGTTACGTAAATCCAAAGTACCTAAGAGCAACGTCACGAACGAAGAGCGTAGAGCTCTTAAGAACTTGAGAACTAATAAGGACCTTCTCGTTCTCAAGGCTGACAAAGGCAACGCTACCGTCGTGATAAATACTAGCGATTACGACTCCAAAATACTTGCTCTGTTGCAAGATGATAACATATATAAGCCGGTATCGTACGATCCAACTGCGAGAGTTACAAGGAGAATACGTGCTGTTATCAGGGATTATAAACACCTTTTCACCGAGGACATCTTTGAGAACCTATACAAACCGAAGATAGTACAACCACCAAAATTATACGGATTGCCGAAAGTGCATAAGGCCAGCGTTCCACTGAGACCGATTGTGAGTCAGATTGACTCACCTACTTATTATTTGGCAAAACACGTTGCTTCCGTACTGCAACCCCTTGTGGGCACTACAACATCCTTTGTGAAGGACTCGCGTCATTTTGTACAGATCCTTGATGATACAAAACTGGATCCGGATGACGTAATGGTGAGTTTTGATGTTGAGTCGCTGTTCACCAACGTTCCAGTTAAGGACTGTCTAGAGGTTGTTAGGATGAAACTTAGACAAAACGATATACCGGAAGGGTACATGGTTCTATTACGGAACTGTTTAGATGGCAGCTATCTCCTATATCGCGGCAAACATTACCTTCAAATTGATGGTGTCGCCATGGGTAGCCCCGTAGCGCCACTTTTGGCCAATATATGAATGGAACATGTCGAGTCATTGATAGATTACCAGTCACATGGGTTCCGTATGTGGAAACGGTATGTAGACGATGTGTTCTGTATCCTGAAGGGCGACAAACCGGAGATTGAGCAGTTCCTTACACACGTCAATAATATCCATCCAAATCTCAAGTTCACCTATGAGTTAGAGAGTGACAAAACCTTACCCTTTCTGGACGTTAAAGTCATGGCGCAAGCTGATGGGTCCCTGAAACACACTGTCTACAGGAAACCAACACACACAGACAAGTACCTCCACGCTTCATCTCATCATCATCCTCAACACCTACGTTCTGTGGAGACAACTCTTATTAACAGGGCTAACGCATTATGTAATACTGACTTCTTAGCAGATGAGTTGTCCCATGTACAGGACGTGCTAAGGAAAAATGGATACAGCGCAAGGAGGTCATACCCTATCCGAAGGTGTAAGGAAAGACTACCTAAGGTTCCCAGGCAACGGGCATTTTTAGGCTATGTTAAGGGGGTAACGGACAAAATTGGTTCCATTTTGAGGAAAAAATTTTCTATAGACACCATTTTTACTCCTTTATCAAAAATGTCACACCAATTGCGATCACCAAAGGATAGTATTCCTTACCAAAAACCTGGCGTTTATAAAATTGACTGCAGCTGCGGTAGTTCATATATCGGACAAACGAAGCGGACTATCGCCGAACGTGTAAGAGAACACATAGCAGCGGTCAAAAATCGTCAAGTGGAGAAGTCCGCGATTGCAGAGCACTTATTATCATCTGGATCAAACCACTGGATCGAGTTACATACACCTCATGTCCTTTCCACTGAACGACATTACTATCCAAGGATTGTTCGTGAAGCGGTTGAAATCAAAAAACACAACAATTTCAACCGGGAAAGTGGATATAAACTCTCACCAACGTGGAATCCGGTTATAAAAATGTATAAGTGTCGCGATCGCAAACAACCACGAACAATATTCTCGGATACCGTAAGTGCAGTGTGTCGCCACCTTTACGTATAATAAAATCAAGTGGAGGGTACATCTGAAAATCAGTTAAAAACATTATTACCGGATTACCCTCAACTAAAATCAAAAGACGACACCCGCCAGTTCTCCAGTCTCCTCGTGACCACGGCTGCTGTAACGTAGCCGAAACGTCGAGGTAAATTAATTGTTTTAAAAAATGCACGAACAAGACCCGATTGCATATAATTATAATGTATACAAATCGTGTGAGTTTAAAAATATTAACATTTCATTTTTCATATCATAAACCGAAAATAACTGTTATTTTCGCTTTTCAGAAATCGGTTTAATTTTATTTTTTGAATAATAAATAGCTACTTATTCATATAAACAGTTTTCTTAAAACCTGCAGATTAAGGAATTACGTTTCAAAGAGAGTGAGTAATCTTTTCTCAAGGCTCCTTAAGAAAAGATTTACCGAATATCCGATGGATCTTTTATTTGATATAAACATATTGATCTGCCACAGTCTTCCAATGGAATTGAGAACTTGTTTGAATATCACATTATTGTGTTTACCTACCTATATGCGATTAGAATGTTCACGAGTCCGAGGTACCCAGAGATGGGATTCCATCCCATTTTAACAGATCTCATGGGATTGTGAAAGGTCATTCTTAGTATTTTTCTTTAAGATATTTTTAGTATATTTTTTAGAATCAATGTATGTATATAAAAATTAACTCTGTGAATGCATTTTTGATAAAATATAATGAGAATATGTTTTTTTTTTATTTCAGGATTGTTTTGTTGTTGTGTAGTCAGGTGTTATATCGAATTCAAATCAATTGAAAAAAAAAAGTTTAGTAAGAACATTTGTGTTATTTGTCCATCTTTTTCTTATTACCAGACCAACTTCAATATTTTCTATATATTACCTAGACTTTGTATAAAAATCCTTTTGCATATCAACACAATATTAAAAAAAAATATATTAAAACATTGTCTCTAACTATATATCCCTAACTAATTTGTTTTGAGTTAAGTAACATAATTAGGAGTATGTACTAGGAATTATTCATACCGTATGATCCGTATTCTCCAGATTTATAGTCGTACGGGATTAAATAATGGTAATGAGGCCAAAACGACTTTGACAGCACGAAAACCCAGTTCGAGTCAGGTGGACATCTGAAAAGATTTTATTTATATTGTCAATAATATCTGGTCGGCTTATAAAATACCCTTCATATAAGGCAAAATAAAAACTAATAAGATAAGAGGCAAAGTCTTAAGTCGATATCAGAAGTCATTTTAAAATCCTAATACTAAGAATTATATACAACTTTTTTAGTAGAAATGTACATCTAAGATAAAATTTTCTATGATTCTATGGTGTTTCATTTTATTGTATTTTTCCTAGTCGTATTGTTGATCATTAATAATTATCAACTTACACAAAATTTCTACCCGACTTTAAGATATTTAGTATTTTTTTTTATTTCTAAAGTCGTTTTTTTCATAGATCAGAAAATTTTCTTTTTTTTTTATTATTGTTTTTTATATAGTAACAATAATGAGTGTGTGTAATAATTAAGACGGCTGCAATTAATTTACGTGTCGGGATCCAGGTATTTTACGAGCTACATAAAGGCATAGTACAGGTGCAATTTGGATAGTTGAATGTATTGTTTGAGTACGTGCTTGGTTGATGGTCATAACAAAGACACGGTATAGCGTAAGGAAAAAATTCGTGAATGTAAATAATACACTAACAAAGATGTTTCTTAAGCATTTATCTCTTTTTATAAATCTATTCAATTACTACTTATTGTTGGGACGTTAATATAACTATCTTACTTTTCTCCAGGCTTTAAACCCCAAACGCAGATACCACTTTCAACAAGCCAGGATGCGTGCAACACCAGGCCGTACCGAAGAAAGCCAATTACGAACACCGAACTGAGAATTGTATCGTCCCAGTACTCAAGCGGCGCATTTAGTGGTAGAAGCAGGAAAATAATCGAATATAACACCCAATACAATCTAGAAAAAAAATATATATATATAATTTAAATGAAACAGATAACTATTTAAACTCAATAATTTGTAATAAGTATTTAATGTTTTATGGATATTTAGGCAATGGCCGTGTGTCTGCCATTTCCGTTGTCCTCTCTAGCCATAGGATAGGCTATCTTATCGATATTAGGCCGAATTTCTGTTTCATTTTACTGCTTTCATATGTACTTTCGTAATGCCAAACGAACGATAATGATCATTATGGTAACAGTGTTAGCCACTTTCTAATTAATCCATCAAACGATATATCAAAGTAGTAACATGAAACGAAATAGTGCTACAACATCGGTAAAAGTTAAAAAATCTACACCGAAATAGGTTAAAATAACATTTTCCCCTCCTTACTGATCAGCTGAGCAGAATTGTTATTGAGACGTATTTTAATAAGTTTTTTAGAATTCCAGCGGTCAGAACCATGGGCGTTATTAGGAGACAGTACTTATTTAACGTATTAAAGTCGAAAAAGTATTCATTGTTAAAATCAATAACTCCTTCTTATAGCCATATCCTAGGCAAATTATATTTATTTGATTTTTTTTGTAATAGAGGTGTACAAATAGTCATAGTGGATTTTGTTTTAAGGGTACTTTTTGTGTTAAATGACGTAGCTTAAATATTATCAAGCACTTGCGGTAGTATTATAAATAACAAGGAGAAAACCGACTCGAAAACAAGTAATATTTCACCCAAACAACAATAATAAGCCGAGGTGCGTACGGAAATTGAATCAATATCTCTTGTATTCGTGTCATTGATATGAATTGATTTCCTTAAAACTCATCACCTAAGGTAATATATAACAATATTATTCTTAGAATATCTCTATTCTTGTATAAGACTATAATTATTATCGATTTCAAGAGCATATTGGTAATTAGACGTAAACAAAGGGTACACTATAACACGCAATGCTTCAATATTAATAAAACTAAATGAACCAGTTCCAATTTGTTTCTCACAATTTATTTAGAACTAGCTTTCGCCAGCGGCTTCGCCCGCGTGGACCCTAGGGAAATGTTTAGTGGGCTAAAAAGTATCCTATTATCTAAGTCAGCTAACACCCTATCTGTATACCAAATTTCATCAAAATCCGTTCAGTAGTTTCGGCGTGATTGACGTACAAACGTCCAAACATCCAAACATCTAAACATCCAAACAAAGAAACTTTCACATTTATAATATTAATAGGATAATAGAATAGGATTATGATATGTGAGGAGCTCGATGGTGTATCGGTTGTTGCGTTCGGTCTGCGATGGGTTTAAGTAACACATACAACGATTGGTCATAGGATGGGTGACCAAAAATTTATTATCTCGAGCTCATTTGTGCTTTAGTAGGCTTGTTGAGTCATTGGTCCCGGCTGCAGCTATAATACCCACCAATCCGCATTGTGTTAAACGGCACATTATCCCTATTCGGTCAATTCTATTTGATTCATAAAGGGAACTTAAGTAATGGTGATATTAATAGACTGATGATTTTTTATTTACAAATATAATAAACCTACTGCAAGTTATTTATGACTTATTTCACAGAATCTGTAAAATCATTTACACTCATAAATCCTGTGTCTAAGTTTTCATGAAAATATTTATATATTCGAATTTGGAATAAAGAGAATTTAGTACTTACTTATCTTGCACCATGATAACAGGGTCGTTTTCCAAATCAGACATGTCGATTTCACTAATAAGTTGCGATTGGTAAGGACTGAGCCGGCGGAGGCGCGTGAGCACATGCGAATAAAGGAATCCCCTGTTGTAGTCATAAGGATCACCGTCTGTTCCGAAATGTGCATGATGGAGTCGATGGTGTCGGACCCAATCGTAAATCGAGCCCTGTTAAAGATTTAAATATTTAATGTATATGTCACGGAGAAAGAGATTAATCAGGCATTGTAAGTAATGTCCGCGCAATATTAAAAATGCCCAATATGAGAGGGCAATATGATGAAAAGTATAGAATAAATTTTCCAGACATTATTATATAAATTGACCAGACGTTATTTATAATGCTCATCACATATCGCGCAGACCAATTGGAGCGTATCTTTATAATACCTAAGCAACTCTATACATAATTGTAAAGTGGTAATTGTCGTATCCCTGTAGGTCACTTTATAAATTTGAAATTGTTAAAACTTAAATTTCGAGGTTATTTTTTTTTCAGACCAAAGAATTTAAAAAAATAATAATGTGATATATTAGTAACGAGTTTCTTCCGTAGAATCAATTGCTGCTCTGCCCTGTTTGTTCCGTTCCTTCGATGTCCCGTGCAATACATCATACATATAATGTGTTTCAGATTGCTCGAAAACCACATGACAATATTAGTAATGCCCGAGAAATGTGATAAATAAGGAAGTTCATATTAATACGTATTATCTTATTTGCTCTATACAGCTTGTCATTATTCATAATGTCCTAATGATAACTTGGTCCATAACATATACAGCCAGCATAGAAATAAATGCATCGTTAAGTACAGCTCTCTCCTTGTTTGAAAATTGTGTTTATATATATTTATGCCCACATAATAACAATGTGTTTAAATATATTTATGCGCGCATAATAACAAATGTCAATCTCATTGTTTTAATGCGCATCGTAACAACTGTTTATGTTGTAACGTTGAACGGCTCAGCTTTTCTCGAAATACCTTTATGTTGCGAAATTTTAGCGATTTTGCCAACTGTAGTTTCAGAGTTTAACCCTTAGCTGTAACTATATTACGGCGATTTTATTTAGATCTTTGTGTTAAAAGGGTACTTAATCATTTATGTCTTTATTAATAAAAGGTTTCTTTGCAAAAATGTTAAGTAAATATTTCTAGAAAAAACAATCTATTGAGTTTGGAGACAGGAACATATGTAAATTAAGAATAATATATAATACATTCATACCTTTCTCTTTTCATATCCGATGAAATAACATATTTCCATCGTTTAACTTTATTAAACACTTCTATATTAATATAAGATCATACGAACCTAAATCCAACGACATATAGTCTATATAATCCAATACCAATTAAGGCTAATTGTTATTACTTCAGTGTATTCAAAGCTGTAATATATAATTCGTCTGAATCGATTTATCTATTAGATTACTCTAATAAAAGTTCGCTAATACAGGCTTAGATTGAAACGACCTAAGGGTGATCATCTAGCTTATAAACACAGGGTGATGTCATCACTAAATTAGACGAGCCATAGGTTATCGATCTTGACATAGGCCCGAAGGTATGTGTGGGACTTGATACAATCAACAGCACTTATGTTTTAAAGTTAATTGCTGATATCTGGAGTTTATATATTGTGCTGTGGTTGTGCGTGCTCTTGTCGTGCAGGTTTATGATCTGCTTGTAATGTGTCATGTCATGTACAGACTTAAACTGTATCTGTGTTAGATATTTTTTTGATTTAGCAGAGTAAATATTTTTAACCGATTTTAGAATCCAAAAGGAGAAGGTACTATGAAGAAGAGTATATGTTTTTTATGTATGTTCAACAATTTCTTCGCGAATAGTAGGTCGATTTTCAAAAACGTGAAATATACATATATATGTTTCTGAAAGTTCTATTGTCTTTTGACGTTTAATTTTTAATTTTGACATTAAAACTCCATCTAACTTCAATTTTATGAATACAATCTTAACTGCTTTTAGATGTATAATATTTTTGCCCTTTTATTATTAGTTTTATTACATTTACCAATCAAAGATTATGTATAAATAATTTTATTTTAGAATTTTTAGTAGTAAGAGTTTTAGATTTGTTAATTTTTAGATTTCGAAAAATAATTGTATCCATAACCAAGTAGGTAACATACATAGAGAATAGATAATAATGTACCGAGTCGGATTGATACCCTCCGTTTTTGAAATCGTTTTAAAATAAGGTTTTATACCTGACCAGCCAGTGTCTGGAAGATCATGAGAGTGATTCGTAGTCCTGTACTGGCTTGGTAAGAGCGGTGCGCCCACAAACGATGCGCCCCCGCAGTGACTCCCAACACCGCTATCAACGTCAATACTACCACTGAAAGTACAAAACATTATAGGAAATTGTAATAAGTGTAAAAAATATTTTGTATTCGTTAGTGTAATTAATTTTGTGGTACATTTTTTCCTTTAAAAATGTTTAAACAGAGAGAAAACACGTTGCTGTAATGCGTGGATTATAAGTTGAAACAAATTGGCTTTTCGCGCGGGTACAGTCATGGATGAGACCGTTCCCTCCTTGCAGGATCATCATTGTTACATCCCCACTTTAGGGGCTCAAGCCTTCCTTATGGATGGTTAAGGAGGATGGGCCGTGACCCTACACGCGGGCCGAATGCGGATTGGAGTATTAGCGACTGCAGACGCAGTAGGGACCAAGGGCTTAACGTGCCTTCCGAAGTACGGAGTAGCTTGAGATAATAATTTTTTAGCCACCCATCCCGTGATGGCTTACCGACCTTTGTAAAAGTTACTTAAAAACTATGATCGCGGGCCGCGGCCCTTATAAACTACGCCACCGAGCTCCTTGTAGGATACCGGACTCAATCCGTGATATGAATCGGAGAGTTTTATCAGGTAGGTTAGACACCAACTTTGTCTTTTTAGGACGGGGTGGATGGAGAGCCCTAATTTGAGGCTCAAGGTGCATATTCGCTGCGTTATAAAAAGGTACAGTCATAAACTATAGGGGAAATTGAAGGTTGTAAAATAGAGATGAGTTCCCTTGGTCTTCCCTACTACGTTGCTATGGCTACGTGCTCATCTCCGCACCCTGAAATGGGCTACTGTTTGGCTGTTTGTTTTTTAATTTGTTAAAAATTAAAAAACAAACAATTTTGATTTTTAGTACAAATCGGCAAAGTAATACTTAAACCCCTATTAGTAATATTTAAATATGAAACACGAAATTGTCGTTAATATGTTCTATTAAAGATTCTAACCCGTAGGAAATTTTTTTGGTGATTTGGAAAACAGAGATTCAATCAAATAAAATGTACTTCAAAAAGCAATAAAGGTTTTAAATCACTAAGCTCTATGATGTCAGAGCCATGTGCTCTGATGCCAGATGTCAGAACTTGACGTCGAGTTCCACGCTGTTTGTATCCGAATAGCATAGCTCACTGATTTAAAATCTTTTAGATTACGTAGAAGATCTATTTTACATTATTATTATCGTGTATCTACAGAAAGTTTCGTTAGCCGTTGTAGTACGATATTAATAATATCAGACTCACGAAATATTAAAGTCATCCATTTTACTTCATAGAATAGAAGCCAAAGGCCGTAACCCGACAGCAGATGGACGTGGATGAAGAAAAGTACAGCTGGCCAGTTCGCTTCCCTCGATTTGCTTATCTGATTATTTTTCGTCTCTTCAGCCATTTTACTGTGTCGTAATCTGAAAAATGATTAGTTTGAAAAAATAAGTCTTTATTTCAGTTTGCACCTAAATACCTGTTCTAAATTTTTATATTATAGGAGCGTTATAATATACCTATAGGCAGGTAAGTTCATATGTTTTTATCTAAAAGTAAGATAAATAAATAAGATATCAAATATTAGCTAACATCATATAGGAATGTTGCTATTCCGTAAGAAAAATCAGCGCCGTACCCTACGTCGAGGACAGCGCTGTCAAAGTTCTATGCGTTCAATCAAATAAAACCTATTTCAAAAGGTAATATAGGTTTTATTTATACAAGGTTTTATTCCATTTCTCTATACTGAGACAGTGGTATTCGACGTCAAGTTCGATGCTACTTTAAGAAGAGAATAGCAAAGGAAAACTGTAGGTAAAGCAGTTTTCACACTTGTGTTAAGGAAATCTGAAATAAAAACGGTTCCACACTTCCAGAAAATGAAAAAAGAAAAACTTTAAGTTGTTATAAGTTGCCAAATATAAAATTATTTTAAATTAAATTTAAAAAGTTCTGATTGAGGTGAGTTTATTAGCCTATCATGTAGATAGGAATATTAACAGATACTGTCAAATACCATTTATAAATCCATTTTTTATGCCTATTAAATTTTATACTTAATTGGAATCCGTTAGATTGTTTGTTATATTCATAAATATGTATATAGATAGCTTACTTTGTAAATAAGTATATTGTAGTTTAGTCCTTTTCTTGTTTGGCTATTTGGAAAAATTAATTATAAGTGAAATTCAAATCTTAATATCACTTATATTAAATGCTTTGCAAATATATTCAGGATACTTTACTAACCAGAATAGTTTGGTTTTCCTTTTGTAAATAGATTAACGCCTATTGTAAGAATACGATACGCAATTTCTATGTGTGATCTGTCAACTGAGCGACCGACCATGACATTGAGATCGCCTTTGTGCGATACACTTACTTAAATAAGTTAATAAAGTCAACAAGCTGGGATACAATAGCTCAAGTGCGTAGAACTCTGGGATTTCAGATAAGATGAATGGTTATAATTCTATGATAGGTTGTCATGAGCAATGAACTTGGAACATGTGAAACGCTATATTACCATCTACTTGTCTGTCTACAATAATATTTGTTATAAAGTACAAAACGAAGTCACTTCCTAATATCTAAACGGATTGTAATTCGGTTTTTATCAATATACAGAGTCATTTAAGAGGAAAGTTTATATAATAATAATAGAAAAGCTAGTATAATAATAGTGTCGTTTATTTCTTCCACAAATTAGATATATACAAAGCTGCTTACGACAGCTTCTTATTAATTGCTTCTTCAAGGTTTTACTCTTAAAATGACTGCTGCCTAAGCTAAGCATAAGAAAATGCCTGTACCTCAGTCCACCAGGTTCAACAACTCCTAGACATACATTTTTACTTTAACATTAACAAAGCACCTACTTGAAAACACAAAAATATTTGTATAAATTGATTGATTTATTCAATCAAAAAGACTTTATTGTACTAAAAACAAACGCATAAAATAAAAAGAAATAAAAACATGCAAAACGCGTACTTATTGCTAAGGTAGCAATTTCTACCAGGCTACCTTTGGTAAACGGAAACTAAGGCAAAATACTGTGGGTTAATACATTAAAAAGAAAAGAAAAATTTAGTTATTTACGAAGTTAATAATTGTATTATATGTTTTTTTTTCTTTTTTGTATAGATTTCTTCACATTACTAAAGCGTTATAAAACAATAATTTTATAAGTGAAAGCATGTAATTGGTGAACAGTTATCGTTACAGTATTATGTACTAGATTTAATATCACTGTTTGTTATCCTAATAAAAAAAATAAATAAATAAAAATAAGTTAAACCAGAAAAGAAGTAAAAAAAGAACAGAGCAACGGAGAGACAAAGTACTAAAAAGAAGAAAAATCTATTTCGAGGAAATAGACTTTTACTTAATGAAAAATGTAAAAAAAAACCACTTGATCCCTGGCACCCTGAGATGGGATACGAACCTTTCGCAATCCAAGCGACTGCTCTAACCACTGAGCTACCAAGGACCTAACAGGACTGATGAATTTTTTCAAGCACTTGTAACGTTTTCGCTACTACAGAGCGTATTCTCATCAATGTTTTTAAGCATTTTTCATTAATAATATTTTTCAGAATAGCATTGTGAATGCTATTCTGAAAAATATCCATGTGTCATGTATCCGACATTATTGAACACAGGCAAAGAGTTACATTATCTAAATATATTTAACTCAGAGATGACTGACTGACATAGTGATCTATCAATGCACAGCCCAAATCACTGGACGGATCGGGCTGAAATTTGGCATGCAGGTAGATTTTATGACGTAGGCATCCGCTAAGAAAAGATTTTGATCAATTCTACCCCCAAGGGGATAAAATAGGGGATGAAAGTTTGCATGAAACTTAGTCAATTTTAATAAGCATAAAGCTACTATGACGTAGGCATTCCCTAAGAAAGGATTTTGATAAATTTCAACCCTAAGGGGATAAAATAGGGGATAAATTTTGTATAAATCTTCTTAGAATTTTGACTGATTGAACAGAAATTAAAGATGATAAAGACGTCCGCTTAAATAGGAATTTGATAAATTCAACCCCCGTAGAGATAAAAAAGGGATGATGGAGGATGTAAATGTATTAATTTGAACCAATCAGTACCTAATGGAACGAATAAATAAATATTCGTTAGAAATGCTGCTCAAAGTAATTTTACCAGGCGGGCGAAGTCGCGGGCAAAAGTTAGTTTAATATAAATTAACTTGAAAGAAAACGTAATTATAATTCAAAATATTTAAAACGCATCTAAGAGATTTATAGTCTGTCGTTCAGGGCTTGAAACCGGTTCAGAATAAACCGGTTTTATTTAGGTAAAACCTGTTCTATTATAATGTTCCATTCCGGATCGAAACTAAATGCGGAGTGAAATTCGGATAGATTAAAAACCGGTTAATTCGCTTGGTTCGTAAAAAGCAATGTTCTTACGCTTTTGATGCGAATTATATCATTTTTAAGCGACGACATTTATCATACCTATGTACGGATGTTATAGATAGGAGTGTAGGTACTTAAAAACCGCGCTGAAGTGTGTGAGATCATTGTCTGGAGTCATATTTAAACCGGTTGGTGAACCGGTTTAAAAACCGGTTCAAAGGAGCTGAACCTTTTATGTAACGTTTCGCGTGTACTTACGTCGAACCGGTTAAAAAAATAAACCGGTTTCCAAGCCCTGCTGTCGTTTACTTGTGTCATACACTATGACACTGATATAGTCTGGCAGCGTTATCTTCTGAATAATCATGAGAAGGTTTGATACCAAGTATCGATATGGAGGTTCTATTTTCGTAGGGAACAAATAACCTGCCGATAAATCAGTCCGTTCACCAATGAATAATGAATACCTACGTTTTGGACAATCCAAGTCTATGAGTAATACTCGAAGTTATAGGATAAATAACGATTGTCTGGTTGCTAGTATTTTTGGGTGATTCCTTAGAAAAGTTCCCTGACGTCAGAATAGTGGTATTCTTATTTTTCTTAGTACACGTATGAAATTCAAAATGAAGGACACGACTATCGAAAAAAAAAATAATCGATATATCTTTAATTACGTACTTAATTTTAGATTTTATATTTGTAGTGAACATAAGCCGGGTATATAGCGGACAATAATACTTTATTCAGGAATCACACATTTATCTTTCGTTGAGTCTTACCGGAATGTGATGGCGGAACATTAATGATTTCATATTTTCTTTTTTCCACAAAAATATTTATTTTATTATACATTTTGGTTAAAATAAATTCAAAACGTATTTTGAAACTATATTAACAATATATGTCGTTTATATATTAAATACTAAAATAAATTGTATAAAAAACCAAAAATTGTGTTGGTCAGACAAGTAGAGAAAACACTTTAACGGTATTGTAAGATAAAATACTATTACGTAAATAGTTTACAATTAGGTATTAATTATCATTGTTTTGAGTAATTTTGGGTAATGATATATCCTTACAGCAATATATTATAATGCAAGTAGATATTAATTTCAGTAATAAAATTAAATATCCTTTTCAAGTGCTAAAAATGTGATGTATTATATAACACAGAATTCACATAAACTATTATCAGTAATAAAGTTAAATCTGCATAATTTATTTACCTGCAGCAGACTTATCTATGCACTCTTGAAGCTATTCTAAATGCAACCAAAACCTATTAAATAGTCAGTTATATTCCATAGAGGAATACAAGAGATAGAAACTTTTTCGATTACACTTCCTTCTTCCTTCGTGTATCCAGTCATAACATTTTCTTTGGAATTAAAAAAATAAAAAAAGAAAATTCGAATTTCAAACAAAGGACACGCGCTTATCCTCTTGTATTGTTATTACGACTGAGGCTGATTATGCATTCGTGCAGTATCATATTTCCTGGCATTAACCTTACGTGGGCCGCATCGATTAAATCAAAGGTTAGCATAATTAACTACTAGTAGCACGAAGAATATTCAGTACCATCAATTTTCTAAGAATCGTGCTACTGTTGATTTAGTTTTAAAGGTAATGGTGGTAATTCTGTTGTTCAAACTAAATTTAAATTTAGTCTTATCAATCTGAATTTTTCAATTGTGAAAATAGTGAAGGTAATGGAAGTATACTTATTATATTATAGCATACAGGAGTTAAATTATATTTCTTTGATTACATGTGACTACGGATGAATGTTTATGAAATCCATTTTTTAAGTTTAGTCGAGCTTGATTTTTAGTCTAGTTTATTCAAATTTAGTTTAGTTTAATTATAATTTTTTTATCTTCGATTGGTAACGATTGATTAGAGTGAATCGGTGTTAATAAATGAGGAAGTATTAAAAAAAACGAAAGCACTAAAAAGCGCCTCCACTAGATGGCGACTCTAGCAAAAGTTGATTTTTGCAGGAAACGAATGGACCAAAGACAGTTATTTCCGTTCCTTTTAAATAACATATTAAAAAACTGAAATTTGAAAAACTCGAAACTTAGATATCAATACAAATACGAAAAAGTAA